CCTTGGCGCCGGGCTAGAGCCGCGCGCGTGTGCTAAATCCCCACCTTTCCGCACTTACAACAGCCTTGCCCCGCGTCGCGGCCTCCGGTTTGAGAGGGGCCGTAGCTTTCCTCACCGCTCGTATCCTCTATGTTAGGAATTACATTGCGGCGCATCTGAAGAGTACATTAGAAATTGATACTTTTATTCCCTCCAGCTTAGTGTGGAATCTTTGCTTCGGCGGGGCTCTACTTCGATTCGTGTGTGTGTGTGTGTGCGCGCGCGCGTGTGTTTTATACACACAGACGGGTCACTGGAATTGTTGTTATTATTTCTGTATGGAGAGAACTACTGTTCCTTGGGCGGGTAACAAATCCAATTTCTCCGGATCTGCGAATTACCTGAAATTGTGAAGGGTTTGGGGAGGGGGGAAGAGTCGATGCTCTCCCACTCGAATACTTGATTTTCTATTAATAAATAGAAAATGTGTTCATTTTCTTTGTTTCTGTCAATAAATAGAACCACTTCTGAAGCTGAAAAGTTAAGAAGTGACCAGAACTAGGAGGTGTGTGACTCTTCCTGCTCTCCCTTTGCCACTCCCTGGTATTTGAGGATCATATGCCCAACTTGCTATTTGTCAGTTTCTTCATTTGCCTGTCATCCCTTCTCCTTCTATGGCTGTCTGTATTTTTTCTCTCTCTCCTGTATATTTCTTGGGTTGGAGCTGTAGAAAAAAACAGGCTAGTTCCTTTTATCAAAGCAAAAATAAATGCCTTGGCACCGAAAGGGAGGCAGGAATGGTTTCAATTACGTGGCAATTCTAGGATCTTCTGTGAGATCATCTCTGCTTGCTACCCTATTTAATGTTACATAGTATAACTACCCAAAATCAAGGTCTGATTTGAAATGAAGGAAGCCACAACACAAGCCTAACACTGAAACACCTTATTACTAAAAATTAGCCCTAGAAGTTTTAAAAAGGTACACTCAGTTTCTTTGGCTGCTGTGGATGGGCAGTTCTGCTTATGCCACTTTCATAAAGATTCAGAGTGGAATTCCTTAACATTTTAATTCTCAAATAGCAGGTTTAATTTTCACATTGCTTCAGAAAGCCTACTTTCTCAGGTTTAACCAGATGCATTAGATGAGAATATTTAAATGATGTGCCGGCAAAGGGTTGATTTTGCTACCTGAGAAATTCTAATTCAGTTGCTAAGAAAAATTTAACAATCTGGTTCTGTTTGTGCTTATCATGACAACCATGTCACCTCTGCTTAATCTTGTCAGTTAAAAGCCACTAGAGATTGAATGCCCTTGCTAGATGGTCCAGGCATGGTGGGGCCAGCCTAGTATTGCCATTTTATTTATTAATAATATTTATATACCACAATGAAACAGATACTTCATAGTAATTTAAAATCTAATTATAATAACTATCATACAGCATAAAACACAGATTCACAGTTAAAGCACGTGAAATGGGAGATGCTATTTATTTCAGTGTTGCATACAATATCTGTCAATCCATCAGAAGAATGTCTTGTAAGACAGTGGTGTAAAAGCCAACATGAACTTACAAGAGACTTGGTTAGAAAACAAGAGTCTTGACTGTCTTCCCCCAAAATACTGATATTTTACTGTGAATGAAGTCGTAGCAGACTGTTAAAAAACCAGCTGTAAAATCTGCCTTGAAATTGAGGTCAGAAGGGTCACTCTGTCAAAGTTAACAGCACACATTTTGAAGAGAACGGATGAGGAACCTGGACTTTGTGCCATATAGTAGCAAACAAAGTAGGCTTTGTCTGCACTTGGAATAGCCTGAAAAATATATATGGTAGAAACCTGTATATTTTGAAAAGAACTTGGAAGAAGTGTTTCAGGCCTCATATAAGAACAGCACCAGTCCCATGTATCTTACAGTATCTATCAGCACTGAACATTGTAGTCTTACTTCACATTTATTGACCCCATATTTTAATAATTTATTCAACTTGTATGCTGCCCACCCCCCAATGGCTCTGGACAGATCACAACAATCAAAGAAATTACAGTAAAATCAATAAAAAATAAAAGATGGCAAGCACCACAGTCCAGATGGAATAAAACAAGGGGTCTCTCTCTATCCGACAGACCACATATTGAGACAAAGGTTAAAAAGAGTGACTATTAAAGGTCACTTGCTATTTGAACTGGGGGCTTTCCGGTTACTGTGATTAGCATTTCAACTCTTTTTTTCTTGATTAATGAAGTTACATTGTTTAGCATAATGAAACCTAGCTTCTGAACTGGCCTTAGAATTGAATGTGCTCTGATGTAATTATTGTTATTTAGTGGCTTGGAAGAAAAAGTTTTTTTCCCTACTCTGTCTAGGAAGACACCATACTGTTTTAGAATAATTCTTCAAATACTTAAACTGGTCTGCAAAGCAGCTCTTTTGAACTTCTAGTTATCAGGTAATGATGACAGATATATTCCATGCATTGTTCATGTTTAAATAATTGTGACAATGAGCATACTTTGTTCCTTTTTCCACAGTTTGGATTAACAGAGGAATTTGTTGGCATAAATTTTTCAGGGTTGAAATTAAAAGTTAAACATGCCATAATCACATTAATATCATAATCACATTAATATCATAAAGCAAATGGATCAAGATGTGAATTCTTAAAACTCCTCTGTGTTCCTTTGTTTATCTGAAACAGAAATTGAAATTTATTCAACCTGTTCTGTTTTCCTTTTTAACAAAAATGGGCTTTCCTTAATTGGCAATGATTATAAACAGAAACTGAAGCTTCACTAAATGACTTTCCAGTACCGTATACACTGAGGATCCTTTAATGTAGTTCTGTACACTATTTCTTCACTATTTTGGAGTAGTGAAATGTTGTGGCTTTTTAATTGATTTGAGAATCTATTGGTATGGTCTGCTAGATAGGATGAAGCCAACAAAATCCAGAGTCAGATAAACTACAAATAGTAAGTGATCTCTTAAATCTATCTGGAAGCAAATGTCTTAGAAAAAAATACATGTAGCTCAGGGTTGCATTGTGGAGTCCTTGGGATTCTCTGAGCTTGATCGTTTTCCTGCAGATGTTTCAGTACCTGGCTTGGTTGGTAACATCTTCAGTACTAGAAGGGAGTGGGATTTGCTCTCTGTATATATACAGTAGGTTGCCCTGTCAGTGTTAGTGGGGTGTGGTTTTCTCCTTGGTAGTTCCTTGCTTAGGCTGTTGTTTACTGCTTGAATGTCTGTCTGAGTTGGTAGTTCTTTGATTAGGATATTGTTTACTGCTTGATTGTTTGTCTGGTGTTGATTCTGGGTTAATCCCTGTTTATCTGGGTGTTGATTGCTGGTGAGGAGGTGTTCTGGTTTTTTTGTTTCCTTTTTATTGTCTCGTTTAAATAGTGTGTAAATGTTGTTTATTTCTACATGCCTGTTGATGGCTGCCTTGACTGAATACCAAGCTTCCAGAATTCCCTCGTGTTTTTGGATTTAGCTTGATCTAAGATGCTGACAGTTTCCGAGTTGAAACTATGGTTAAGTCTGTCCATGTGTTGTGAGATTAAGAAGTTTTCGTGTCTTCTGACTGCTAGTTGGTGTTCATGGATGCGGTCTGCTAGTCTTCTGCCTGTCTGTCCTACATAATGGCTGTTACAGTCTTTACACTGTATATGGTAGATGACTCCTGTTTTTTCTTCTTGC